GCTCAGTGCAAATGTGACCCTCCACTTTGTATTTCTGTAGCATAACTGAAACACTTTTGGTGTGTTGGTCATGTGAGGAGGGTTATGCAGCATGTAGAGGGTACTGACATGTTATTTCCTGGCAAGGGGGATGCATCTCCCTCATTGATTGTCAAGTCTCATCATTTTCTAAGAAGACAATTGGATAACTATGTCCTACTTTACTTGATATCTAGAATTTCCTTTTAGGTGTTTGACCATAACTGCTGTCTCAAAACTAATGCATACACTACAATATAGCTGCATAGAATTATAAGTTTTGGAAAAAAATTACTTCCTACTTTTTCAGTGCCTTTGTATTCCCATTGCTTTAGGAATGACTACAGGTATGGGACCATTTATCCGGCATCCCATTAACTGTAATGCTCCAAAAACTGGCTATGTTCAGGAACAAATCATTCAAAATGAGCGCCAAAAGTAATTCTTAGGCCGAGCGGGAATATTTCCAACCATTCCCCACCTGTAAGCTATATGTTATGTTAAGGTTATTTTCCAACTCGTAATTTTGGGTAGATACTGTATATGCAATTCTCCTACGTGGAGGAAGCCGGCCTTCTACGCAAGCTTTGAGTGTTATCTATTAATGTTTAAATGGTTTTATGAAGGTTCTATGCGAATTACTATTTATGTTTTTTGCCTTACATTATTTGTTTTTAGCTTAAATCGGCATCATATGACCTTAGGTTTTGTGTCACCAGGGATGTAATTACCACAATCAATCGATCAATCATTTTCTGTACACGATACATACTGTACACACTCTAAATACCGATATCACGGCCTATATATGCGGCGGGGTGCATAAGACGCCCCCCCCAATTTTCCATTTAAAAAGTAGCTTTTGAGCTCTATTTGCTGTATAAGACCAGTACCCCAAATGTGACACTTAACCACGGACTCAGTAGTCCTTTACCAACCATCCTTGATTTTTTAAAATAAGGCCAATTCACTTCAAGTAATGTCATCAAATTATACCCGCTGGTGTAGTGTAAACACTAGTGACGTCACTGAAGCGTCTGCTATTTACCGATAACTGGAACTAATGTCGGTATCGAGTAAAATTTTTCCATTTACTTGAAATGGATTTACCGATTTATTTGTTTACTTATTTATTTATTTATAATATACTGTAACATATTAAACACACTGCAAGTATTTTCTTTCATTTATACGCTTGCTTCACACGAGACGATCGGTGGTGGGAGTGTTCCCTCGTCTCGGTGGTGTGGCTGTGTTCCGACTATTTATACAACATGTAGTTCAACAGCAACCACCGTATTCTAATTGTGGTGTTTCATTAGGATTTGAGTGAAAAAGGTTACCAGTATGTACTTACTACATACATTTATTACACAAATATATATATATATATATATATATATATATATATATATATATATATATATATATATATATATATATATATATATATACAAAAAATGAATGTTCAATGAATTATTTATGGTGCATTAGGGTACTGGTCACTTCTGATGGGCTATAAATAGCCTTCTTTATCTCCCCTACATCTCACCCTGAGCCAGACGGAAGGGTCTTGGTAAATAACGTTTGCTTATTTTCCATTTACTTTAAATAGATTTACCGAATTATTTGTTTTATTTATTTATTTATAATATACTGTAATATATTAAACACACTGTAATTATTTTCTTTAATTTATAAACTGTTTTGCGACAAAGGAATGTTCTCCAGTAGTGTTTCATTAGGATTTGAGTGAAAAAATATTACGTACTTACTACATACATTTATTACACAAACATATTTATATATACTGTATGTATACATACATACACATGCACACATTTAATTTACTAAGTCACAATATTTTAAAAGCAAATTACCCGACAAGTTAAAAATGTTATTAGCACATGATTATTACTGACGTCATCATGTATTAAAAACCTTCAAAATCCACATCATCAACATCTGACATCATAAGTTCTTCAAGTACATCCTGAGATACATTTATGGCTGCTTCATCATAAGGATCAAATTCCAAATCAGATGACGTGGCTTCGGCTTCTGTTTCATCCTCGTCCTCCCACAACATGTCATCCTCCATGCCATCCATTGAATTAGATATTCCGCACTTTTTAAAAGACTTGATAACTGTCTCCACATTAATATCATTCCATGCCTTGATAACAAAATCACATAGTACATCCAGTTCGGGAGCACGCATATTCCCACCTTTCGTGTAAGACTTTTTGCCGCTGTTCATCCATTTGTTCCATTGTTCACGAACGCGGTCCTTGAATGGTTTGTTTAGACAAACATCAAGTGGTTGTAAAACTGAAGTTAATCCACCAGGAATAACTGCAATGTCACTGTTGTTCCTCGCCATGTTGGTTTTTGTTCCCTCTGTTAAATGACTCGCGAACATATCCCATACTAACAGGCTACGCTGTTTTCGAAAGCCACCAGGTCGCCTACACCATATATGATCAATCCATAACTTTATTCCTTGTTCGTCCATCCACCCTTTCTCGTTGACGTGAACAAAAACTCCAGCCGGGAACTTGATTTTGGGCATTGTTTTCCTCTTGAGAATTAGCATTGGGTTCAACTTGGTTCCGTCTGCCATGCATGAAAGTACTACTGTAAACCGTGTCTTTTCGTGTCCTGTTGTTTTCACTAACACTGTTTTTGCACCCTTTGTATCGACAGTATGATTACCGACCATGTCGAAGTTCATAGGTGTTTCATCCATGTTTCCGATGTTGCTTAATGGATAACAATGTTTCTTACGTTGTTGTATTATGTAGCGATGGAAATTAACAATTTTACAGTTAAGATCTGCTGGTAATTTTTGTGCTATTTTTGTCTTCTGCCTCAGTACCAGATTGCTTCTTTCCATAAAACGGCTACACCATGAAGCCGTGGCTTTGAAGTCTTTGCTGTGCTCTTGATTTTGTTTAGCCCACTTAAGTGCCCACATACGTATCATGTTTCTTGATACAATATACCCATTTTGACGCTGCTCATGGACCATGTCTACTGCGTGCTTCTCTAGAATCGGCCAGTGTGCAGTGCCTCTTCTCATTGCACATTTATTCCTGGGCATACTTCGTAGTAAGTGTTCCTTTGATCTCCAATCCCGCACCATCTTCTCAGTTACACCGTATTCTCTTGAAGCAGCACAATTGTTGTGTGACTGGGCATATGCTATCACTTTCAGCTTAAAACAAGCTTCATATCTCCTGCGTTTAACAATTGGAGCCATGGTGAGGTTTTGTGGTAGCTGGATACAGTATTAATATACCGTAGTGTTCACACGGAGAGAGTGCTATTGCTTATGGAGTGATAACTCAACAACTGGACAAGGCAAATGAGAGAAGGGGTCACCTTACACATGACCTGACGTGGTCACCTTACACATATATGGTAATCATTAAGAATCAAACTCCGAATCAGATGACCTGCCTTCTTCTTCATCATTGTCATGCTAAATTTACCACTGTCGGTAGTTAAAAGAATTAAAAGTCATTTATTGAATATTCTATGTAAAAAAATAAATGTTAAATTAATTATTTATAGGAGAAACGTATTATGATCAATAAATATATGGTATTACTGGCCACTTCAGACACAAAGACGGGATAAAAATAGCCCATCTCCCCCTCTTACAGCTGCCAATGGGAAGCGTGTTGGTAATTAAATTTGATGTTTATTTTCAGTTTGTCTAATTTATCATGTATCAAATTAATATTACTAGAAATTGTGTAGGTAGTAGGCAGCTACCAAACAGGGAGGTACTACTGCCTGGGAAGATATTGGAAGCATAATGTGTTGTCTAATAGTAGACCCTGCTGCCATATGGCATCACGAAAATTGTGACCAAGTCCCAGGTTGCTGACCTGACTTTCTGCCTCATTTACACAATTGCAGGGTCTCAATTGTTTCTCTTACTTTGACAACACAACATACATACAGTATATTATTTCTCAGTTTTGATCTTTTTTTTTAATTTTTGTAACTATAAAGTTAGTTACTTAAAATAAGGCCAATTCACTTCAAGTAATGGCATCAAATATTACCAGCTGGTGTAGTGTAAACACTAGTGACGTCACTTGAGCGTCTGTAATTAACCGTCGATAGTTTCAAGAATTAATGCACTCAGAGGGTCATTTACTGAATATTCTTTGTAAAAAAATAAAATCTAAATCAATTATTTATAGGAGATAAATATTATTATGAGTAAATATACCGATACCGGTATGCATTACTGACCACCTCCACGGCTAAAAATAGCCCAACCTCGTGGTCACTTTCCCTTGTCTCCTCACTGGCAAATGGGGGGGGGGGGCGTGGGGGGGGGTGTGTAATGATAGCTGTGTTTATTACAGGGGTATAAATCTCTTTTACGGTATGTTAGACAGGTTTATAATACATTTTTATTATTTTAATATCCCGGTAATCTTAATTTGAATCCAGCTTGCCAAACGTAAGTTTCAGTATAAAATAATTAGTGGTAAGACCTTGTGAGTGGCTTACGATGTTTTCATCACCACTCTTGACACACTAAACCACAATATTTAAGAGGTAAGAATTTTAAACTTGGTGGTTTAGACGACCCCCTAACTTTGGGCAGATTTTTTTAATGTTCAAATTTCGTCTTATAGGCCGTGATATACGGTACCATACAGAAAGTGAAAAAATAAAAGAATTACCATAATGTATAAAGTATTTTTCAACTCTTAATTTTTACTCAGTTACATGCACAAAATCCTACAGAAAAAAGTGCAAAAATAAGATAAAGAAATAATTATCATAAGGTATAAAGTCTTACGCATCTATGGGCGTACATCTGTGAAGTTGTGTGGTCAGTGTGGGAGGTCGGAGGGTCCATGGCAGAGTACCGCTGCTAAGGACACTGTTGCGTTGCTAATTTGTTTTATTTTTGCTCTTTTTATGCTTTCATTATTACTGTTTATGTGCGTACAGTTTTAAGTTTAATATTACAGTGTACAGTTAAAGCTCCTTTCAGGGTTGAATCTAGTGATTTGAACAGAGGCTACACAGCCAGTTACAGAGGGTTACTGTACAATTTTGGCCTGGTGCTTCAAATTCCGGAAAAAAAAAACCTATCCGGCTACCCCCAGTACCTAAGCATGCAGGATAAATGGTCCCATACCTGTACATTCATATACTTTATTGCAAAAAAATTTGATAGGTTTGTTAATAAGTAAAAGCTTGTAAGAGAATTTTAATAGTTTTTAGAGTTAGAATAAACAGAGAAGCTCTTATTTGTCTTGGCTGGGAAGTTAGAGTACAGTACAGAGGGACTTGCCTGGTAGGTCTTCTAACACCAAACATCACATTCTTTGATGTCTACAACAGTAGGAAAAATTTAGGCAGAATTTTTTTTCCTCTTTGCGTTGGGGTGAGTATTCAGCCAGCCTGTTCTGTTTACTTGATTGATAAGAGGCTGACCATTACATGGTGGGTGGTGGGCTGCCATCTGAGTGATGGGAACACACACACACACCTTCACCCATGCTATAGTGTTTGGTGACCATATCAGCCCCTCTGAGTAAAGGGGTTAAATATCATTTTGATGTTGAAGTTTTGAGATGGTTATTACTGTACAGATGTTTTCTAACAGGTCATGGTGTATACAGTAATGTTCTTGGCTACCTTGGTGGAGTGTCATGGGCTATGCTTGTTGCACGCACTTGTCAGCTCTATCCCAATGCCACTGCCTCAACGCTTGTTGAAAAGTTCTTCCTTGTGTTCTCAAAGTGGACGTGGCCAGCACCAGTATACCTCAAACAACCGTACGATGCCAAGCTTGGTTTTAAGGTTAGTAGTTTCTGTGTGTTAATGTAAATGTACAATTTGGGGCTGTTACTGAAATTGTAATGAAGGCTTATAGACAGTTGTGCACCTGTTGGAAGTTAAGTGGTGGGTTATATGGGAAACTGGTTCATTGTTATTACTATGGTGGACTATGATTAGTTTTCTTTTTATGTCAAAAAAATATCTAGCTACTTAGCACTCTTAGGCCTTGAGCACACCAGATTATAGGGAGTACAGTATACTGTAATTTTTGTTTAAGGTGCCCCTACCTGTCAAGAAAGGAATAGAATAAGACAGACAGGCTGAACTGACAGACATCTCACTCATTTCAGGTTTGGGATCCTCGAGTGAATGTTCAAGACAGATTTCATTTGATGCCAATCATTACACCTGCATACCCTCAGCAGAACTCTACCTTCAACACTTCTCAGTCAACTAGGGCAGTCATGGTCGAGGAGTTTAAGATGGGGCTTCAGATAACAGAAGACATAATGCTTGGGAAGGCTACATGGGACAGACTCTTCCAGCCACCAAATTTCTTTACTAAATACAAGTATGTTTTTATTTATGCCCCCATTGTTTATACTGTACAGGCTGTGCATTTGTGTGTATTTCATCCCACTCAAGTTTATTTTGCAGGAATAAACAAAACTATCCTGCTTACAGCCATGAAAATTTTTAGAAGTCTTGAATGCAATTATGAAATATAAAATCAGATAACCAAACTATTTGAATAGTTTGTGGTTTAGTTAGGGAATATTAACTTCACAAACTTTTTTCTAATTGGATTTAATGTTTTTAAATAATTTTGTATCGTTTATTAGTTATCAGGCTTCTGTGAGATGTTTAAATTGCATATGTCATTGAATCAAGAGGATGTCAGCACTGGCAGGTATCTTTGAAATGTAAACTGATTCTTCTAGTATTTTTCTGTTTTCTTACCCATTTCTTTGTATTTTTGCTTGGTTTAGTAGCCTACATAGGTATAACAACGAGTATTTGAAGATACCTATAAAACACAGAGAACAGATAGAGTACAAGTACAGGTATATGAATATTACAGAGGACTCCTCTCCTCCACCCCTGTGACTCTTGATAAGCTTAGACCAGCAGACAAGGAATATGCAGTAAGAATTGGTGTATGGCAGGACTCCCTGGCTGGTAATTCACTCTGTAGAAACCTGTTTAGTTCTTTTTCTAGTGGATGTGAAATATTCAGAATTGATTGACCATAATTGGCTGATCTACAGTGAAAAGAAGAGAAAATTTAACAAACAGTGAAAGGGTAATGGCTCTTCTAATTGGCAATTCTCTCTTATCTTATTGTCCAACACTTTAACTCCATTTAACCTTTGCTTTTTAGGTATATGCAATTTGGGAATAACTTGCCTTAACATTAATACTTATTTGGGCCTTGAGGCTTGTATTTGTGCAAGTGTTTGTATTATTACCAATTGTAAGAGGTGGCGTGTATCTGGGGGAGGGATGTCCTCTGAAATTCTTAATCTTAATAAACTGAATAATGAAATTTATGTAATAAACTGAGCTTCAGTAATTATGTAAGTTATTGCCTCTCTGAATTTATTTGAGTATGGTTGAATTTACTACTGAGGAGTTAGTCCCTTGAAGATTGACCAGATGGCTGTAGATGTTTTTGACTTTATAATATGATAACATTCCAGCAGCATTTGCTTTGTTTAGTTAATACTGTTCAATATTATTGTTTACAGGTGTTAATTACTTTACATGTTGTACAGTATTTTGATCATGTTTGTTTCATTGACAGACACTACCTAGTGGTGATTGCAGTTGCCCGATCACCAGAAGACCACCTAGAATGGTATGGCCTTGTTGAGTCAAAAATTAGACATCTAATATCGACCCTGGAACACAACGCTGCCATAAAAACAGTTCACATTAATCCTGCAACTTTTAATTGTCGGGATAGCGATTACGTGGACAAGCCGCACTCTTCTTGGTTCTTAGGGGTGGACTTTAACAGATCAGAAAATGTAAACATAGATCTCACCAATGACATCAATAAATTTGTTGAAGTAGGTAAGTGAATTTATATTTCTCTGAAAAGACTACAAGTTTTCAGTATACTCCTTCAAATTCTCCACCAGACTACAAGTGTTAATATTAAATTGGCGTAAAATAGAAAAAACAAATGGTAAATCAATATGAATATGTGGCGTAAAGTTACTTAAGAAGATGGAATAAAATTTATGTTATTAGAAAGTGCTGAGTCTTACAGGAGAATTGTGTAGTGTTGTTTTTGATCCTTAGCATTTTAAAAGAGAGAGATACCCTTTAGTTATAATGTTAAGGGGAAATAATGTACAATGTGTATTAACCTGTTGAGAGTGGAGGCAAGAATATGATAATAGGAAGGTAAAGAAGAAGTCTCTTGTATTTAATGAATAGGATAATATATTTTTTAGGTGCTACACATTTAAAGATACTATGTTGGTCATGGTAATACCTACAGTATTAAATTCAGTAGAACGTCGATTTAAAGCAATTCAATTTAAGATTATTGATTTAAAGCAACACCCACAATTAAGGACAATGTTTTAATTTAAAGCGAATCTTTCCTATTTTGCGCGAGTCAATCTGGTACATCATATTTAAAATTCGTGCCTAATGATTCTCTGGGCATGCTACACTGTCCTAAGGGCAAAGCTGTACTGTACAGGTACTCAAAATAATGTACTAAATGATTACTAACAATTTTGTGTAGTGCAAAATATAGCAGGATCATATTCAAATTAATCACTATCTTATAAGAATTCCAACAATGTAAATTTTATTCTCCCCGGTCACTTCTGTGACATTTTAAAAACAAAAAACAAAAACTCAATCTAAAGGACATAAATAAACAAATAAATACTTCACTAGACATTGGCGCAACTGTCAAACATGTCACCTCCCCTTCCTCCCTCCTCTCCCCTATCTTCCCAGCCAGGGTTTGGTGCAGGGTTTGGTGGTTTTAGGCTTTTAAGTTTTTATCTTATATAATATCACAGACTAAAGTTAGGAGAATATAATTTGCATTGCTAGAATCCTTGCAAGACAGCGAATAATTTGAATATAAACATCATAAATTTTTCACAAGATAAATATTTTAGCCATTTGTAATAAGTTCCTAATTAAAACTAAATTTTTTGGTCTAATGCAAACTATAGCATGCTTATATTCAAATTAATCACTATCTTATAAGAATTCCAACAATGTAAATTTTATTCTCCCCGGTTACTTCTGTGACATTTTATAAACAAAAAACAAAAACTCAATCTAAAGGACATAAATAAACAAATAAATACTTCACTAGACCTTCGGCTCCCAACTGTCAAACGTGTCACTGTCACCCCCCCCCCAAAAAAAATCTTCCCAGCCAGGTTTGAGTGGTTATAGGTTTCCGGTTTTTCTTATATAATATCACAGACTAAAGTTAGGAGAATATAATTTGCATTGTTAGAATCCTTGCAAGACAGCAAATAATTTGAATATAAATGCCATATATTTTGCGCAAGAGATAAAAATTTTTGCCCTTTATAATAAAATTAATTAGAACATGTCAGTTCAGTTACATTTTATAAGAGAAAAACTTAAAGGCACTCTTAAGGACAGACAAATAAATATGCACTAGACCTTGGTTTCAACTGTCAAACATATCACCTCACCTCCCCCCTCCCGCCCATCTTCCCATCAGCTGATTACTAGTAAACAGACCATTTCATGTCCCATAATTTTAGCTGTGTTGATTTATGAGTATTTTGTGTTTCTCTCAAGTACCAAACTAAATTATTCCATTGAAACAACATTTCGATTTAGTGCAAATTCGGTTTAAAGCAACCTCTCTTGGAACGTATCTCGCGTTATATCCACGTTCTACTGTATTCAAACCACCATTGCTGTATTAAAAGTAAATTAGATGTTATTGCCAGAACTTGAGAATGAAATGTATGGGATCCTTGAAAAGTTTTACCATTGTGAAAGTTTTGTTTAAGGCATTTTTTTTTTTTATGGTAAAGAATTATTTTGAAACTTACAAAAAGCAAACCACTGGACTTTTTTTTTGACGATTTTATTATCATATTATTAGTTACTTGTTTATACAGATGGAGGAAGGTCAGACAAGGGTGGATATAAGCAGTACAGTACAGTACAGTATAGGGAATCCAGTTGTGGATGACACACATTCTAGATCTACCGTTCCCAGTTGTCTTGGAGGTGGTGTTGATCTTGAGTACTTATTTCCACAAGTAGGGCACTGTATTGTCGTGTACTGTTTTCTACTGTATTGTGCTGTACTGTTTTCTACTGTACTCTATTGAGAAAATTATAATTTTCTATTAAATTTCATTCCAGCCTACTATTGTTATTTATGCAGTGCTGTAGTGAATATATGTCACTTCATTAGTTTGTATACAGTTTAATGGTAGGAGACACCTCTTATGTATTTGGAGTTGTATGAATATTATTTGTTAATGTAAATTAGTGATATAAACCCAGTGTAATGTTGTTGCCTCTGTAACCTACAATATGATATATTTAACCTTGAAACAGTGGCCATTATCAGTGAAGTTAGCTGTAGGGATGGTGGCCAGGAAGTTTGCTGTAGGGACAGTGGCCATCATCAGTAGAAGTTAGACATAGGAATGGTAGCCATCATCAGTTGTTAGCTGTAGGGAAGGCAGCCATCTTCATTGAAAATTTCATGTTACTTGCTTTCCATTTTTGTGGATATGGGGGGGGGGAGGAGTAGGGAATCATCCTTTTCTGTCAGATAAGGGTTCATAGCTTATGTCCAATAATATATTGTATAAATAGCTGAAAGATTACTGGATGCAGCCTCCATTACCAAATACAGTACTCATAGTTTGGATAAAAATTCATGACACAAGTGTTAGGATATTGAATTGAGAACTGTAGAATAGTTTCGAAAAAAAGGAGTAAGTTTGCAGTTTCAGGTGTACTGTATATTTCTCAGTCAATTATTAGCAAAGTCAGGAAAAGGTAGAAATGAGAAATTTATGGACACATGACAAGGTGGATCATGAGGCAAACATGGGAAAATATGAAGATACAGTGATATCTCCATTAGCTGCAACAGTTGGTGCAGAGCACTTCCGGGAATGAGAGATTTCTGGGTAACAAGACGACTTTCAAAGGAAAAATCCCTCGTCCCCAGAATTTTCCGGGTGAGTGGCGGAAAAATTTTCTCAGAAGTTCCAGAAATTGCCCATAACATCATATCTAGAACCCGGAAAAATATCCCCCATCCCCGGAATTCTCTTGGTATCGGGAACATTTTCTCATAATTTTCCGAGAAAATTTAAATTCCAGCTGTTGGAGAGTTCCGGGTTTGAGGGATTCCGGCTAATGGAGATATTACTCATATAAGAAGTAGGAGGAAAGCTTCTTGATGCAGTAAAAGCATTGCACAAGAGTAGTCAGTCTTGTTTGAGAGTTAACTGAGGACTAAATGAGAGATTTGATATGAAAGTAGGAGTGAGGCAAGATTGTGTGATGTCCCCATGAGTGTCATAAATATATGGATGGACTGATGCATTGCTTTTTGTTTAGCTACAAAAGGTGGTGAATAACTTGTAGGGCTTATGACAAGAAATTTTAAGGTAAATTTTAGGAGTTAGGTAATGGTCTTTGAGAGGAAGAAGTGTAATGAAAAGGGAAAAGTGTAAGTGAATTTTATAGGTCAGGCAGCCTATTAGGGAGAGTGTGAATATAGCACAATGTATATTAAGTATTTGGTTATTTAAGGAGGCAGTGCGGCTGGTGCTGTCCTCGACCACCTCACTTCCCCGACTGCGAAGTTAGGCACTCATTTACAACTGGGTGGACTGGGGGATGCCCAAGCTTGAACCAGAGACCCCCAGGACAGAATGGAAGAGCTTCTATTTCCACTCAGCTCTGCATCTTCTAAACAAAGTGGATTTTGGTAAATCTTACATAATAGAAAAATCCATCTCATTAAAATGTGTAATTATGATGAAGAAATTGATACATGGGCAGGTTTAATATTTCAAGTCCTTGAGAGCAAAGCTAAGTAAGAATGATAGAGTGAAATTCGGAAGGGAACCATATCTGGGATTACTGAAGAGTGGTTGGAGGATACCATCAAGAGAAGGCATGTACTGTAAGGTTGGAGGTAAAGACCAGTGGTGGGCATGGTTCTGCTAACCGCTAATTAGAAGCTAACTTTCTCGTTAGCGGATTAGCATTTTTACTAACTTTGGAAACCATTAGCGGACCAATTAGCTTCTGCTAAATTTACTTCCGTTAACTTTAAGTCCGCTAACAAAATTTATACATGTTTGTTCCTGTCTGTTGTAAGCGTGTGATGCCGTTACGCATGTTTCCAACAGCCAGTCAGCGCAGCTGGCTGACTGCGTGTTAGCGTCTGCAAAGATATCTTGAGGCCAAGAGAGCCACCCTGTCAGATGGCAACTCTGAGAGCTGATGTTTATGAAGGGCAACCAGCATCACATCGAGGCTTTGGAGAAGGCCCAGCCACTACAGCTGGAGTGATTGGAATTTTTCGATTATTAAAGTTTAATACTTTTTTACAGTAAATAAAGACTGTCAGTGTATGTTGAAAGAATCATAGAATGTAATTGTAAACTAATGTATAATTTCATTTCTCATTTTTGTTAATTTAATTAGGATTTTTTGTGTCAATATATTTGGTTATGCTAAGTACTGCATAAGTTCATAACAGGATGTCATCCAAGGTTTTTGCCAAACAAAATTTTTTAAAAACTTACTTTTCATTAAAGTTTAGAGTTTTCTGTTTATTTACATGACTAATGACCAACAATAAGTTATATAAAAATGCACTGGTATAATGACTAAGACCAACAATAAGTTATATAAAAATGCACTGGTATAATGTGTATGTGGTTGGTATTGCATATTTACATGAATAATGAATAAGGCCGATAGGTTTTATGAGAATGCAAATTAATTATTTGGGAAATTGTGTACAGTGTACACCTTGATAAGTTGATCATCATCTGATCTTGGCATGATGCTATTTGCTACTTATGCTATACAGTACTATAGTTTTTGGATTCGTTTAATACTTTCTGTCTTTTCGTGCAGTAAATAAAGATTATAAAGTGTATGTTGAAACTTGAATGTAAACTAATGTGTAATTTCATTTGCTCATTTAATTATTTGTGTACACCTTGATCATCATCTGATCTTGGCATGCTAGACCGTTTTTGAAAGCTCTATGTCTAAGCTACAAGACAACATATGGAAATTTCAGCTCTCTAGGTCTGTTTTTAAGGGTTTTAGAGCCCCCCCCAGAAAACGAAGCTAAATTCATATAATAAAAGTTAGCGGTTAGCGTAAGCTTCCGCTATTTTTTTTTTGCTGATTAGCGATTTAGTGTTAGCGAAGTTAACTTTTTAGTTAGCAGTTAGCGAAGCTAACTTTTCGTTTAGCTGTGCCCACCACTGGTAAAGACTTCCTATCTTAATCCTTGGCAGTGAAACATGTACATGGGGTGTAGCAGAATACTCTTAAAAGATCCAAACTACAGAAAAGAGTTACCTGAAGGCCATATCTGGGGTCACCATCTTGAAGGGGGGTAAGAAATAGTGAAGTGTATGGGGTGTTTTGAATGGCAGAGGACTTAATATTGTGGAATGGGAGAAGAGAGGTTCACTGAAATAGACTTGAGAGAAGGATACAAGTGAAGACGGTGGTATGGAGGTTGTATAGGGGCAATGTAGGAAGTGTCTTTAGTTGAGGGGGGGGGGAGACAGCTTACATTGTGGAAAAGAAAGGTGTAATAATACATTATGGGGAGTATAAGAGAGAGAAGATAAAGGAAACAGAGAGGGCAAAGGAGGTATGTGGAGAGGATAGTCAAGAATAATGAGGACTATTTAAGATTATGACTCGCTTTACTCACTAGCTATACTACTTGTCGTTATTCAATAATCATTACCAGAAAATCATAATGCAAGAATTATTAAAAAAAACAATAGATATAAACATGAATCATGAAGGTTTACCAGTATGACACCATGCAAACTGATCCATCATGGTCGCTGGTGACTGCTACGCCTGTGACAATACTCACCATCATCATATTATATAATTATCCAACATAAAAGAAAAAATAAGAACACTCAAAACACAGCAACCCTGATTCTCAGTCTTATCCCATAGATAAATAATCTACTCTTTTATGACTCAAGCAGTTTATAACCAGGTTTAGTCCCAGGAAACTCCTTTATAGTACAGTACAGTCCAGGTTATACCTTCAAGTCTAGAAGTCACCCTTCTGATGGTTGGCAGTGATAAACAGTTAGTTAGAACCTCTTTCTTGCAAAAGTTTCACCCATTGACCCACTAAGTGTGGCTGGCTCGTTGCCTGAGTGCTATGGCTACAATATGAATTTTTTTATCTCGCTTATTCCTAACTTATTCCACAATTATTTGGTACCATTCCATGAAATTGTGTATAATAATTTTTGATAAGCAATGTAATGCAAAAAAGTATATAATGTAAGAAATCCGTGTAAAGTCTTTTATGCAGGTTACTTTCTACTTTTGAGCTGCTTAGTTCTATGAACTTTAATTTTATTCCATTAAGTCTATACTAAATAGTAGTGTGATTTAGTTGAGAAAATCTTGATAATTAGGTGCAGTCAGGGTCAAAAATCTTGAACACTTAGCAATATCTGGCATCTACTTCTGAGTTACATATATATATATACTGTGTATATATATATATATATATATATATATATATATATATATATATATATATATATATATATATATATATATATATATATATATATATATATATATATATATATATATATATATATATATATATATATATATATATATATATATATATATATATATATATATATATATATATATATATATATATATATATATATATATATATATATATATATATATATATATATATATATATATATATATATATATATATATATATATATATATATATATATATATATATATATATATATATATATACTAATAACACTACTTATCATCACATATTATGCCTGAACCACAAAATGGGGTAAAACTCTTCTTAATACCTAAGATCTTCGGGTACTTACATGCCAAATACTGTCAAGTGTTAAAGACTTTTGACCCCGACTGTACATGACAATGACGTGTTGAATGAGCGTACATCATACTGCATGATGCTTACCGTCCACATTGTTTCAACCATAAGTGATATTTATATCGCTAAAGAAGTGAGTACAGTACTGTACTAACCAATTACATTATGTAGAAGAATGATCCACAGCTTACATTGTCCGGGGCATTATATACTGTACTCGTGCCCAAAAAGGTCGTTGCACTTATCTCCGGACCTTCACTCTCGCTTTGTCTCATTTTCCTCAACCCATCCATCACATTCTTCATCACCTAATATTTCAAAGTCGCCTTCACTTATATCTGAACCATCATTATCATCATCACTTGCTATATTTCAATGGATGTCAATGACACATACATCAATAAAAAAAGTTATTCATGGTTCACCAGTTATGCAATGGTTCACCCCCACCTCATTTCCACCCATGCATGCGTGATTCAAATTATACGCCTAAAATGTAGCTAAATTTTACATCTTTTGTCCTATCTGCTCGTATGGTGGGTTTAGGCTGTGACGTAATAAAAATCCAGCCTCCAAGTGTGATGTATGCAAGTGGGCCATTGAAAATAAAGAGTTGCCAATATCGACATTCATCCTTCAGCAACATAAAAAGTCGCTCTTATAGAGACATGCATCACTTCATGAGTTAAGGGAGGTTGGAAACAATAGCATGATCTACACACAACTCCACCATTACATGTTGTCTCATGTTGTTATGGTGTCAGAGCTGTGTGTAGATCATACTCCCTCTCGACTTTTACACACACACACACACACACACACACTTCACAGGGCTGAAGTGGTTGAATTTCCTGGTAAACAATTGGGTAAAATACAGCTACATATTGTACAGGTAAGTCTGATAATGGGATAATAATACAGAACCACAGGACAGTTATACTGTACTGTTTATTCATTAGATAATGATTTAACATTTTACAGTGAAATACAATACAATATAGGAGTATACAGCACATGTATGATAACTGGCCTGGATTGGAGATCATAACTACATATGATTGTGAATGATTTAGAGAACAAATTCTGTGAATTACTAAAGTAGTTTTGGAAGAGCTAAATAGACATGAAGAATTTCTGCACTTTAAAAAATATATATTCAAAATTATGAGAAAAATCCATTTCCCACAAGTGAATCACACCATGGAGTAAGAGAGCAGAGAGAGACTTACAAAGAAGAATGTTGCTGAAGATGATAATGTTTTAGTGAATATATACTGGCCAGTAAACTAACAAAACACTTCCTAGTAAAGTACAGTAATAAGATCAGTCAGTAACACAGTCACAGTAGCTGTCCTGTGTGAAACTCGGACCCCAGAATTCCCAGCTGATGTAAAGGAACAACTTTACTTGTAAAGGAACCTACTTTCTCATATTCTATAATATTTTTGTTATTTAATTGTCATCATCATCTACATACCGGGTACATTTTTGTTTTTGTTTTTTTTTTGTTTTTGCTCAATTCATCTGAATTTCAGAAATTTTTATGTGTAGTTCTTCCAAGAATTATAACACCAACGTCTCTCAAGTTCGGCGCAACTTTTATACAGGTCTTTTGTGTTGATATAAATATTCGTAAGTATTATAAACATGTGAAAAATTGCAAGAACCCAGATGTTATGTTTATGAAGGAGGGAGGCTCAGTTAGTGGGTTGTAGACAGAAATGGGTTTACTTAGTTAGTGGGCTATAGATCTAAGAGCAGGGAAAGGTGTGAATATATCTACAAGCTGGTCATTTCATATTTAATGGATGATTTCTATAGGCATTCAGGATTTATATAATCTTTTAATATTTATATCCTGTATATGTTTTTTCCCAATATAGTGTACAAACAGAGTACCTATAACAAGGCTTACAAGGAGGGTATGGAGGTCAATTGCAAATATGTCAAACGAAAACAGCTGACAAACTACCTGGCGCAAGATATCCTAGATAAATATAAATCCAAGGGAGAAGAAGGGCAGCCCAAAGTAATTGGACAGAAGCGAAAATCTGACCCAGTACCTCCAGATTCTCCCAGTAGAAACAGTCCTCTGTCTAACAAGAAGCCCAAAATAGATTCAGAAGCTGTATCTCAGGTAATTTTTCTCTTAGAGTAATTAATTTTACTTGGTACTGTATTGTACATGGACCACATTTTTTTTATGGTACTGTACTGCTTCTGTGTTCAACATGTGGTTGTCAGTGAACCTTTTCTTCCCTACTTATTTATTTATGTTTTTATTTATTTTTTATTACTGATACACCTTATTTTTGCAGCACTTCAGTTCCACTCCTCTCCAATTGTGTAGGAGTTATTCTCTAAAATGAATGAACAAAATTGATAACACAAAGTAATGTTATGATAATTAGGACTGATTATGAGACCAAAATGTTTGTTGACATTTATAAACTGAGGTTAATTTTATCTTAACACTGGACATAAACTTAATACATTACATCAGTATAATAATTATGTCTTCCTTATCTCTCTACATTACATAGCCAATCCATCTTTATTTGGCCATAGTGTAGTTGTTCCTCTGGGAGTGCTGTGCTAAGTAAAATACTTGAGATCTTGAAATGTGATGTACTTATCCCCATCTTGCCCTCAACACCTCTCATAAATATTCAGTAGCCCTTTAGTTATATATAATATTGTTAGTTTACATGTGATGCTCTATTTTATTTAGTATTTTATATCGTTCAATCAACATGTTTTTGTCATCAACATCTCATCATGTGTGTTACAGTGTAGATACAGTAAGTCCTCGCTTAACATCGAGGTTAAGTTCCTAAAAGTGCGACGTTATACAAAACAACGTTAAGCGGATCGATTTTCCCCATAAGAAATAGATAAATACGGGAATTATGTTCCTCCCTTTGTCTCATGAAATACATTACACATACAGAAAATCATTGCCACTTCTATAGAAAATAATGCACACATATACAAACTACTAAGTTTGTATTGGTACTCACCGATGGGCGGAGGTGGTAGAGCGAGTGTAGTTGGTAGTGAAGCAGAGGAGGCGGATGGCGGGAGCGGAGGAGGGCGGGAGAGGAGGAGGGTAGGAGTGGAGGAGGGTGGGAGAGGAGGAGGGTGGTGAGTCACTGCGACTGCGCCGAGTCGAGAGCATAGCGCGGCCAGACGAGAGAGGGTGATGCACCGTAAAATGTAGTCTGTGACGACACAAAATGACGTAGTATCAGATCACAGGGACATTAAACGAATTTCTGGTCTCTAAAGTTTAGCGATGTAGTACCGAAACAACGTTAAGCGCGGACTTACTGTGTGTGTGTGTGTGTGTGTGTGCTGGTACATACATGTAGGTGTGTGTCTGTGTGCGGGGAATGGTAGACACATATAGGTCTGTATATGTGGTGGGGGAGGGGGTACATACATTTAGGTGAGTGTGTGTGAGGGAATGTAAATACATGTAGATTTGTGACTGTCTGGCTGTGAAACACTTGCTGGTAGAATGATCCAGTCATGGGGACTAGAGGAGTAATTTTTTGGTCGAGTGCCAGCAGGAGGATTGATATTTCTCCATCTCAAAGGTGCTCAATGAGAAGAGTTCAGTACCTGTTGGTGGACTTCTAAAATTTTTAATTGCAATAAAGGTACTTACCTGCTTGTAATTTGAAATAAATGCAGATTTTTTTAATATTTTAATTTTGATATTTAAACTTAATAGGATTTTATTTTATTTATATCATAGTTATAAATTAAAAGTTTCATTTTTGGCATCAAATGGCCACAGGCTGTGATGCCACATATTTTACCCAATCAATCAATCAATTAATTAATTGTACCTGTCTGGGATCATACATACATGTAAGAGTGTGTCTGTGATATCATATATACACACAAGCATGGTAGAGCAGTAGTAAAGAAAACCATATACAGTACAGTAATAATGTGTGTATGCTTGTGTCAGTATTAGCCATATGTATTCTCAACAGGCATCAATTGTGGAAAAGAGTGACTAAAATATGGATTTTTTGGTTCTCTTCACAGGCTACCCTAAACGGTGATGACTCCAACATCTCCCTGGATGAGGCCTTCTCCAATACATCAATACCTGCCCTTGCACCTGAAATTAATACCACACAGGTGATAATTGAATATTTTTTATTACCTACCCACTTATGAAGAGCAGCCAGAATAAATACACACTTCTTTTCCCTTCATCATTTCTTGTCATTTATTTGGTTTCTTTTTCAATACTACTGATATATACTAAGACCCAAAATATATGTTGGGTTTAGTGTCACTGAACAAAGCCAGCACATCCTTCTCTGAGAGCCACTTGAAGTCGTGCTGTCCTCACGTTGCTGCCTCCCTCTTGTCCACCCCACTCACCTCCAGTACCGTTCTCCCATTTCTTTTATCTCATTCTTGGTCTTCCCCCTTACCATTCACTTAAGGATAATACACTTTTATTATTTTTCACTTTCCATTTTCTCAATATGTCCATACTGTACCACCTAAACATACCTTAATCCACTCTATAACTGGACAAGATCAGTGTGATGCTGGTACAGTACTTTCAGATCTGGTCACTTGTGTCTATTAAATCCCTAAACTTAACTAATCTCTTCTTTTTTTCAGGAAGGATAAAGATTAAACAATTAAGAAGTTAATATACAATCTACTGCTAAGTTAGTTTTAGAAGATTCAAAAGGTTTAGTCATTATAATCTCACAAACATTGCTGTGTTTTAATGGATTGACACTGCAGACCACATCAGTCAGATTGTCTCACTATACTCAGAAAGACTTTTGTGTGATAACTGGAGTTTGTTCTTCAGTTACCATGAAATTTAATTGCTTCTGGGTAAAAGAATGATCTTATCAGTTTAAGGGTTGAAGTTCCAAGTCAGTTGTGTTCGAGGCCCAAGAGTCCAGGAGGTATTAGTTAGTCACTGGTTAACCCAGTTGCATTTGCATTTTTATTAAGTTTATTTTTTTGTACTCACAGACCAATAAGTTTGACACCAAGAAGTGTTACCTCTCTGTCTTGAGAGCCTTTGGGGCCTTGTGAACCATATTGTCTTTTAACACAAGTAAACACTACAGTACACTGTAATGTACTGTATGGAGATTTCTGATGACTCCATATTGATTAAGAGGTTTGTGCTAAACTATAGAACAAATGTTATTGTTTTCAAATCCTGATATAAATTATGTACTATTAAGCTTAAGTTAATGAAAACTGGTAAAAAAAGTTGGATTCATCATGAATTTCTTTACATTACAAAGAATTACTATCCAATGAGATAAGTCAGTGTATGAATGTGTATATATTTGTAAGCAATGTTAAACAATAATTGTAAGTAAAAAAAAATGGGATTTAGTACTACAAAAAAAAAAGAACAAGTGGAGCTTTAAAAATATTGATACTGTATATGTGTGCTGGGAGATGAGGAGTGCCTGTTGGCTATGGTTGTAATAGTGTTTTATCAAGATTGAGAACAGTAAAAGTGAATGACCTACAAAATCTGATGGAATTAATGAGGTCAGTATGACTTTTGTTAGATTATATATGAATAAATATTGTGGACTGTATGCAATGGAGTTGTTTCCTAGTTGATAGTACAGGGTACTGTATTGACCCTAACAATTCCACTTAGTATGAACAGTTAATATGTATGAAGTGTTGTTGACAATGTGATTAGGGAATCATTTTGCATATTTTATTATGTCAATAAATACCTGAGGGTATAAGGAAGCATTGTTTAGAGTTCCTACTTGTTGTGTCAGCCCTGTCCTCTTACTTCTGTTCTGTACTTGTGTTTCTTGTGTCTCTCTCTTACTATATGGTCCCTTTCTTAAGTTTCTTCTCTCTTGATTTACCTTATGTATATGGGGGTGTATGGAGGAATAATGATAGGTCGAGAGGTAGGTGGTTAGTCTTTAATTACCTCTGGGAGTTGTGACCCTGCCTTGCCAGCTGTTCTATACTAAGAATTGGGTCACCAGAACTGTACCAATCCCCTGGTCTCTGCTGCATTTTGGGGGGCTGGTGTCCTGGGCTTGCCATTAGGTAATCGTGGCTGACCCCTGAAAGTATGGAAAATGGCCATAAAATGATGATGATGATGAGAGTAATTTTTTGTGAAATTGTGATTTACCTTTACTGTGTCTTGAGCAGTAATGTCAAAGAAACTTTCCATTGGCCTTTACCACTTGTCTTTCACCATCATCCAGTAAGTGGCAGCTGATGGCATCTGTGTGAGGTTAGTTAGTGATGTGTTCAGTAGGCCTTCCCTTCCAGTCACAGACCTCTCTACTTGAGAGAGTTTTGATGTCATTGCTCCATCTTCATATTCGTGGCTATGAAGGTCTTGACTGTGATGTGATGATGGAACATCCTCCCTGGAGTCAGTTCAAGCAAGGTGACATGACAAGACATGAAATGGCGACTTATGACTCTTGATTAGGTCATTTCGTGGGACATTGGTTAACGACAGTGATGGCTCCTTTAATGTCAGATGAAGTTGGGTGGTTGGCAGTGTGTGGGACTTATGACAACTCTGTGTTAATGTGATACTATGTGTTAATGTGATACTAATCGGAGTGTTAATCTTGGACTTGAGGATCTGTGACTGAAGGGTTGGGGAGGGCGAGTTGTTTTGTGTCCTTCTCTCGTGGAAATAATTGTAAAAGTTGTGAATATGCTTTATATCATCAGGTATATTTATGCCCATGTTTCACTACAGTATATTGTTATGTAATTTTGAAAATATGATGAATTTTATTCAGAGAATTTAGAATGTATCAAAAAAGTAATTTTTTAGAGCTTGTTAATTTTTTTTTTGTGTACAGTACTTTCATTAATTACAAATTTGTATTCTTACTCAGTATATCAGGCTTGTGTATATTACAGGTAAATTAAAAAATAATAATCCTCATAATACTGTAAACGTCCCTCACATGCTATTGACTTATGGTTCTTCCTTGTTGGTTTGGGGAATATCATGTGTTTCAGTAAATCAAACTCAAGGAGTTGGTTGTACAGTAAACCCTAACTATTTGCGGGCGTTAGGTTCCAAGGAATGGCACAAATTGGCAAAACTGCGAATAGCAACTTATGCTACCTTAATGCATTACCGTATACTTATACAGTGTATGAGAAACTTAAGTCACCAATATTAGTCTCCTGTATATGTGGAAGTTTGGAGCTTGAAGTGTACTGTGCAGTAGAATGAAATCTGGTTACTGAAACATAAGATAATCAGGATCACTGTTGGTGATTGGTGGGAAGGCGCGTGGCAAGGAAGTGGGTGGTGGAGCGGCAGCAGCAGCTGACCGAGTAGGTGAGGTAGACGAATCAACTGGGCGAACAGCTGGTTCTTGAAAAACATTGTGATTGGTAGTTGTTTCTTCTAGGCTTTGAGGTCTCTAAACATTTCACTCCACTAGCATCACTAGCATTGACACGAGGCAGTCTTTTCGGGGCCATTTCACACAGAAACACTGAAGTTTTCAGTACAACACAAGAGATGCTGTGTCGCAGGTAATGGTTGAGCGCAAACAAGGGGAGAGGAGACGCTGTGGGTGCGTGGAGGGCGATTCGTTGCAGGGAGCTAGTCACCATCTGCTTACTGTGAATAGTCAGAATCGTGACTAGCAAGGTGTTTACTGTACAGACTTCTCCCTCCAGTCTTTATCAGGGTCATGGAAGAAGGCAGACCTATAGTGTGTTAACTATTTTTTTTTGTGCTTGTGCACGCTACTGGCACTGTTAAGGGTTAATTACACCCTCACGGGTTAATTACACTCAATGATTACATTGGTGAGGATCAACTTTTGCCATATTATGCTGACTCTTCTTTGAATGTTTTTTTGAGAGGTTCTCTTCAGGTTTAATTACCTGATTCAGGGATGGTAGTCAGTTTATCTTAATTAATAAGAGGGTTGATATGCCTGAGCATTTTATTGTTGTTTGCGGCAGTTACTGTGGAACCTTATCCAACTGAGGCTTAAACAGACTGGTCCACTTGAACACAGCTTATTCCCTGGTTATGGTCTGATCTTGGTGTACTGTACTGAATTCTTCCCAACTGTGAAATGGGTTTAAATTATGCTTTAGGATTGGATGGTTAATCTGATGAATTAACTGTGTTCAGGCATTTGCTTTTAAAAGGTTTCTTTTGATGCCTTTTTTTTCCTTGAACAAAGAGCTTGATCCTCTTAAGAGAGGCATCTTTTATTAGCCTGTGTGTGCACTGCTGTACAGTACAGTATAGTCTGCATTTACGTGGTCAATTGAACCCGTGGAGGCCCGCTTAAAAAGAGAAACGCGTAAATGAAATAACAGAACATATGGGATTAATTGAAATAGAGACTGGGTCGACCCCCAAACTCCACTTTTTCCGACACAATACGTACGTTGTAGTAAAAATAACATCTTAATTTTATGATGGTATGCACACACAATTAATAATTAAGAGAAATATCATTAACATTAGGTTTTTTAACACTTACGTTAGTAGAAAAGCTGGGTCGGCACACGTGGATGGCGGCTGGTTCCGAGGCAGAGGGCAGATTAGTTGCCCTCTAGTGAATCACTTTCACTTTCACTACTCGCACAGGTTTGCAGGGCCTCCTAGACAAACCTCTCAAAGTCCATATCCTCACTGTCAATATCACTATCACTGACTTGGACTGGCTGTGGTTGTGGTGGGTTGCGGGCGAGGAAGTCCTCAATACTACGTTGACGACTAGCATTGGTGTGGTCGAGATAGATCTGGATATACGGCTCCATAACTTTTGCCAGATGGTTATTAGACACTTCATACCGATGCTTGTCTGGGTCGTTGTCAAGGATGAGCTTAATTTTCTCCCCCTACTCGATGATTTCCTTCACATTATCATGGCTTGGTCCAGGTAATTCAATGTTTTTCTCGGCTGGTGGGGGTCCCGCGGAAGCCATTGTGAGGGGAATAGCGGGCACAAGAGAGAATTGTAAACGATGACTGAGAACAATGAGACAGGCCCTGCTAGGTCAGCGACTATACTGTACTATACACTTCACAAACAGTGTAAATGCAGCTGTTTATAAGTCACCTTGTATCAGTACCCTTTGTAGTCAGCCTCCGGAGGCAATTG